TCAGAGAGGAAGGAGGGGTGTGGTTTGGGGGGGCGGTAAATGAGGATAACTGTCAGTGAGGGAGGGGTTTTGAAGGCGAGGAATTCGAAGGATGATACTGAGGGGAGGGTGAGTTCTGTAGTCCGGATGTTCTGGTTGTAGATGACAGCCAGCCCACCACCACGGCGTGAGGGGCGGGGTTTAGTGATGTAATTAAAACCAGAGGGGGATGTTTGATTGAGGGAGAAGAAGTCATTGGGTTGTTGCCAGGTTTCAGTGAGCAGAAGGAAGTCGATGGATTTGTCCAGAATAAGTTCGTGGAGGATGTGGGCTTTATTGTTGAGTGACCGGATATTGAGGAGGGCAAGATTGGTCAAGTGGGGGGTTGGAGGGGTGGTGGCAGACTGGAGAGGTATGAGGTTGTCTAGGTTAGCAGCGCGGGTGTGGGCACGAGAGGGGAGGCAGTGGGGCAGAGGAGGGGGGCTTGATGGTGGGGAGAAATGGCTTGTTATATGTGTTGGGAGGCGGAGGGGAGTGGGATCCGCTCCGGGTATTTCATGCAGCTGGGAGTGTAGGTGAGCAGGGGAGAGTGTAAGAGGAGTAGTAGGAGTTGCATTCTGATGACGCGTCAGGTGTGCGTTGGGTAGAGCAGATGGATGGTATGGATTGTCCGTGCTGAAAGTAAACAAAACTGTGGCGGGTGCTTCAGTGAATGTAGCGGGGTCGACGAAGGAGTCCAAGATGTCTGATGACTGAGATGGAAGACGGGGTGGAGGAGTTGGTGAATGACAGAAGCTGTGAGATGGAGTATTTCAGCATGATGACAGGCGGAAAGGCTGGGAGCAGTGTGTTAGCAGCGATAGTGGCTAGCAGGCTAGGTGCACAGAGGTGGAGGATTGTTGAGGAGATGTCCTCTCCTGTAACTCTCCACCTATCAGGGGAATGGGGGGTTGGGCCACTGCCACGGCCATTGCCGCTCGAAAGCGCTGGAGACGCTGTAGTACATATGCCAGTAAGTGGCGCTGTAGTCTTCCACAAAAGCAGCGAAGAAGACTTCTCACAGAATCAGCCCTTACAAAAACAGGGCTGGAAAAGAGCAAATAGAGCGAAATGAGGCATGGCTAAAATGCATGATCTGTTTGGTATTTTGGAGAAAAAAACTTCAGATGTGTGTTTTCAGATCTCCATTCAGAAAACACACATTTTAAAAGTGTTTTGCCTGCCGTCTTGTCTGCACATTTGTCAAAGCATTAACTCGTATATTTTACAAACCGGTATCACTATGTTGTTATTTCGGCATCATTTTGAAACGTTAAAACGTTAAAATATGTTCATCCGTGTTGTTGTTGGTATCGATCAATGACAACACGGATAGTAACGACATGGAGATAAGCCCCGCTCCCTTGCCAGCGCGTCTTGTTTGACGGACTTGAGTAAACATAGCTGACAGCCGCTGTGTGTACGCAGCATTAGACTCTTGACCTTCATGGCTGGTTCTTCGCAGCTTAGTTTGGCCTTCTGCTGTCTCAATACTCTGTGCATCAACTCTTCTCTTTCTCACCCTTTCAAGTTTGGTGTTATTGAACTGAAGGCGACAGCTCTGGTATTACTTGGCCTTGTTCCTTCTCAGTGTTTCCTCTATTCCAACACCCTCATCCAGTCTTGCCAGATCCAGAACAATGGGTAGGTCAATCAGGGCGTAAAACAGAAGAACATTGGTTGCAATAATTTTGTAGGCATCATATTCATGAGTATGATTTGTGTTGATTTGAGATCTTCATTTTCTTTTTTTAGGCATAAACAACATTTCTTCCAGTCAGTTTAACATTGAGATGAAACTGGAACTGAATTTGCCATCTTGTGGGTGCCAATTAAGTCCTGTGTGATTTTTGCAGGCCTCGGGCCTAGGGGAGCCTGGGCCAGCAGCAGACTCCACCTCTCTCTATGAGAAAAGAGGCAGAAAACGTTAGCTTTATGTTGAGCTCCACAAGTCACTCCAAAACAAAAGCACTGAAAACTATGCTCATTAAAGCATCAGGCAACAGCATTTTCAAATATGTAAAAGTATTCTAAGATACAATACAAATTTACATTGAGTAACCATTGAATTTAGGACTCATATTATTCCTAGCTAACTCCATTGCCTAGTCAAAAGTACTGTGTGTGCGCCTTTTCCAAGATATTTAAATCAAATGTAACATATACCATATGCATAAACACTTAATATTTCTCACAGTCAATTAACATAACACAATAAGCACACATTTATCTAATTAGCATTTCCATTGTACTGTGTTACCTTAAAGTGGACCTATGATGCTATATTTGAATAATATAGTGTAGGACCATACCTATATAAGGCATATTTATACTTTTTTTTTGTTCAAAATACCAAACAGATCATGCATTTTAGCCATGCCTCATTTTGCTCAATTTGACAATTTCTAGCTCTGTTTTTGCAAGGGCTGATTCTGTGAGAACAGCACCATCTACTGGCCTGGCATATGTACTACAGCGTCTCCAGCGCTTTCGAACAGCAATGGCCGTGGCTGTCTCCTCCTGATTGGTGGAGTTGGCCCAATAGCCGTAGCGCCACCGTCCTGACGTCAGGACAGTGTTCAAATCTGGATCAGTTTTTATCAGATCCGTTGCAGCCCCTTTTTTAGAGATTTGGGTATGGAGGAAAATAGAGAGGGTTGTGTTTTCTGACACTTGGTGAGTTCCCTGGAACACCGGGGACACATATTCATGTATAAATTACGTACAAAAGTGCATTTTGCATGATAGGTCCGGACCTATCATGCAAAATGCACTTTTTGACACAACCCTCTCTCTTTTCCTCGGTACCCAAATCTCTAAAAATGGGGGTACAATGGAGCTGATCCAGATTTGCGGCGATTTGACGTCATATCGGCAATGCGGACCCACAGCACTATCAGAAACAATGCCCGACTGTTTTGGATTTAATATGGTCGGTGTTTACATTAGCATCGCTAACACTCAGAGCTAACCTGTACTGGAGAGAGCATGTGTGTGAAGAAGCAGGAAATAAAAAGGAACTCACCTTGTGGTATAACCGGCAAGAGAGAAAGCCTTTGAGCTCCATACTGTTTCAGAAATAATCCTTGATAATCCATGATATGGCGTTTCATCACCGCAGTATCTGCCGGTAGAATCTCCCGCATGAGCAGGCATAAGCTCCTCTTTTTTATCAAATGTATTTTCTTTTTTTTTAAAGCTTTATACATAAAATCAGCACTTTTGAAACAGGAAGTGAAATAGAGGGATATGAGGCATGGCTAGAATGGGTGATCTGTTTGGTATTTTGAGCAAAACACTTCATAGACATGTTTTTTATATTTTTTTATATATCTGAGATTGCCTAAAAATAGCATGATAGGTGACCTTTAACATAAGCATCCTATCCGCTAGCCGCTAACCGCTGGCAGCTAGCTGCTAGCATGACATTGCATTTTTCAATCTACATACATAACTGAAAATAACCGCCCATCCTAAACAATGCACTCTATCACAATATATTCGTAACACTGTTATTCATTATACTGGGCTACAATTGTGAGATTTTAAGGACTTTAAACCTACCTGTTTAAGAACACGAAGAGACAGAAGATGTTTCTTTGTGTTGAGCTTGACTGCAGTGTTTATTCTGCAGCGCCTGCCTTTATAGAGTTTTTGGTTCCACCCGAGCGCTATCGCCCTCTAGTGATCAGTCTGCATATCGCACAATATAGTTACAATGAAATTGGTATTTTAATTATTTTTTAAGACTCATATAAATAAATAAATATGAAGGGGTGAAACTTTGTCGACTCTGTTGCTAAGCTTTAATAATAATACCATTTTTGTTTTTAATCCAGTCTCTACGTGGTCCAAAAAGTGTGATTTGACCCCAAAATCATTTATACATGTATAGGGCAAGTGAAAGAGATTTTATAGCAAATAAATGATATTCTCAAGCCATCATTGAAAAATGGTGGCAAACACAGGGGCAGCAGGTGAACATAATGAGACCATCAGGCACAGGAGGTAAATCACAGGAAGTAAGACACCAAGAGAAAATAAATGTCAAAATAAAACAGGAGAACAGACAGACTGTGATACATTTTCCCTTTTGCATGATTTACAAGCATTTGCCTTGAAAACATCACTAGTTACTTTTAGAATATAGCAGATTTAGAATATCAGCATTTTATCAACAAATATAAACATTTTATGAACGAATCAAATATACTGTATGATTCATTACTATCAGCAGTATATTAAGTAATCATCTCAATGGATTGATACAGCAATTTTGATCTTGGCTTTATTAAATGTTCAGATTTCAGTTATGGAAATATACGCTAATTAGCACACATTCAATGAGCTAATGCCTTATTTGAATATTCAAACATGACATTTTATAAAACTTAGTATAATATAAAGAAATAATTGTCTAATTGTAAATTATCCACTGGGTTAGCTTTTTGGTGAAATGTATTCTTTAAACCTTACTATATTCACCTGTATTGTCTTCCCTCAAACATGATTAGTCGCTTTTTAAACAGTTTTAACATTAAAGAAAAGGATTAAAGAAAAGGATTTCCTTTTGGCTGCATCCCAATGCCTATAGCATGAGCATTCTATGGTTGGTAGGCTTGGTGAAGGTGGCTTTCTGCCTCAACCTTTTACAGCACCCTGCCGCCCAGACCTCGCTGCTTTCCGTAGCGAGCTGTCCTCAGTGCCAGGGGGCTGAGGCGGTGTCCTCAAACCACCCGACCGTCTTTAAACATGGAGACCCTCTCGTTAAGCATGCTTTGTAGGTGTCTACTTTATGATGTATTATGATCATTTCTACACCAAATCAATTTGGGATTGATTTGTTTACTGCACCATATTGTCTTTCCTTTATTTGTCACTTTATTAAATGCAGTATACGATCATTTTGGCTAACACTTTGGATAAAAAAACAGCATGGGTATACTGAGGGGTTATTGATTACATAGAAGTCAATGGCAAAGTTAACATGGAGTTTCAATCAAGATTCATTTATTTGCACAACCAAAACCCGTATAGTTTAAAAGGAACAATTCAAGTAATAATATCCACCACCAAAAGTTATATAAGATGATAAGGTCTTTTTACAATTGTAACTTTTTAACACAGCTGTCCACAAAGTATTCATTTTAAGTCAAGGGTTGGACTTTTTAAAATAAGAACATTCAGACACCAAGGATGTAAAGATCTCCTGCGTTGAGTTTGTAACTGGCTGTAGACTCTTCTTTGGTGATGCATTCATCAGGTAATAAGGGATTACAAATCCAATCAGTTTCTGTGAGGATGGAGATACAAAGCAATTGTTACTACACTGGTCAATTAATTTACTACATGTACTGGAATTTCAGTTTCAGGGTATTTAATAATCAGAACAAAATTATATAACACTGATCCCAGGGTAGGAACAAAATAATTCTGTTTTTTCATTCACTAGCTCTATGCTTAAGCGTCAATAAATATATACTGTAAGACATAACATGGGCATGCAAAATCGAAATTCGATCATCATGTGTGGATCAACTCAAATTGCAGGATGGTTATTTTACTGTCCCAGTGTTCAAGTTGTGTTTAGATGAGTGTCAGCATAGTACATTAGAAGCGTAAGTGTAATAAGAAGCAATAAAAGCTGAAATGTTCAGTCCCCAACACCATGGTGGTTTAATCTGAGAACATCAATCACTGTTGTCTCTGATTAAAGGTGGCTTACCTTCAGTACTGCCATGTTTTAGTTTTTAAGTTAAAGCATGCAGCTCTGTATCAGGAGTAGGGGTTTCAGGGTAAAGAGTCTTCTTTGGTGGAGAAGATTGCAGATCGGATGCAGGAGTGCATAACGTTTTCAGTCTCTATGGAAAGAAAAGAAATTGCCAGATAATTGCCGACAAAGCATAAACTACAACATAACAGTATCCACTGAAATCCACCAAGTTAGCTTCTGTAATGATTCAGATTTCGGTCAGTCCATTCACATATAACATACTGTATATATCGACAGAGTATCGAAGTAGACCGAAATGAAATAAACCTAAACCTAGACTGTTAAGCAGGTCTCTGTAATAAATCACTCAGAAAACTGCAACTGATCCAGAACGCTGCGGCCAGAGTCCTGACAAAAACCAGAAGAGTAGAACACATCACCCCAGTTCTTAGATCTCTGCACTGGCTACCAATAACTTACATAATCGATTTTAAAATTGTATTACTAATTTATAAAGCACTAATTGGTTTGGGACCCTAATATAAATTGGACATGCTGCTCTGTTACGAGCCACCCAGAGCTCTCAGATCTTTGGGGACGGGCTTACTCATTGTTCCCTGGATCAGAACCAAACATGCCGATGCTGCATATAGTTTTTACGTGCCTTTGTATCTGAAAATGTGCTATATAAATAAACTAACCTTAACCTTAACCTTACCTGTCTCAGTGTTCCCGGGTTACAGCCATACGATAGATAATCCACAGAGGAGTCAGGAGAACTGAAGATAGAGCAAGAACCATCCCAATGGCAAAGCCCCACCAGGGGTACTCGTAGGTGTTGTTGTATTTCAGCGGGGTGAACTTGACCAGAGAGAATATCAGGGTTCCCTGTGACAAAACAAGTGGAATAAAAAGAAAATCAGAGGAGCAGCTTACATTTTCATCAATGGATATATATATATATATTTATATTTGTCTTATTGTCATTCTGATATTTTTCCGGTTAATGTCTTAAAGGTCCCATGACATGGCCATTTCTACTGATCATAATTCCATTGTTGAGGTCTACTAGAATAGATTTACATTGTTCAATGTTCCAAAATCACATTGGTTTCTCATACAGCATCTCTGTATAGTATGTGTATTCACTCTCTGTCCTAAACGGCTTGTTGGAGCTCCTGCCCCCCCCCCCCTCCCTATGAGCCTACTGTGCTCTGATTGGTCAGCTCGCCCACTCTGTTCTGATGAGTCCACCACCGTTACAGCGGAACATCAGTGTTATGTGTTACAATGGCGTTTGTTAGCAACCAGAAAATGACACCAGTAATGACAAACAGATGAGAATGCTGCGTGGGGTCTGGGTGCCGTGTTGGCAGGACGTTGCGGGGCTCGCTGCTGCGCCCTTTGAGGCTCGAGGAGCGGCCGGTGTGAGCTGGATTACTGGTGTCGTTTCCTGGTTGCTGCGTGGGGTCTGCGAGACAGCGAGACACCGCGGAACTCAGCCTGAGCACACACACACACTCACAGCCTGCGGAAATCCGTGGAGCTGCATTACGTCACTATGACCGTTACGTCACTATACTCAGGAAGAAAAAAATGGAAAAAGAAAAATCTCCAACGAGGCGTTCTGGGGCAGCACAGACAGGTCTTTTCTGTGTTAGAGTTTTACTCGCTACAGGGTGTACTTTGAGGGTTTGTGACTTTGCAGACCGTTTACATGCATAAAAAGATACATAACACACAAGGGGACGGGTAATAACCAGAAAATCATGTCATGGGACCTTTGAAAAATAGATACACCAATACTCAATACATTTACTTACAACACAGAGACATGGTGTGATGAACTTCCAACAATATTTCATAAGCGATGTGGGGTAGTAGCCAATCATTTCCTTTATATTGTCATAATAACGATCAGCACCTTGTAGTCAGGGAGTCATTCAAGAATATGATCAAACACTGGGATTCATCTACATCACGATATAAAAGGGCAAGGTCTGATGCCTGGCCACGTGCTCATAAGGACAAGGGGGAAGAATTTCAGCACTACTACTGAGTCCATTACATTCCTGAGAACGGTCTCAAGTCTTTCTTCTTTTGGTCCAAGAGGAATGAAAGCTAAGTTAATGTGTAAGATAGTACTGGCCTCACAGATAGGCGGGAAATGTTCTGCCCTCCAGGCAGTTGTTCAAATGTTTTAATGGCTTTAGCAGTGCCCTCTGGTTACTTATGCAGTGCAGATGAAAAAAAACTTGATAAGTGAGTAAAATTAGCAAATGTCAATACAATGTTTTGTTAACATGATTTGTAATATTTTACAGTATCACTGTTATTCATAATGGTATAGTTTTAGGGGCTAACATTACTTAACATATATATACTGTATGTCTGTTGGACTCCTTATTTTCCTTGCTTAAAATGATCTTGTTACCATATATCCATCCCACACAGACACACTCCAAAATGGCAAAAATCATTAATGGTATTCCACTGCAAGCATAGTAATCAAACAGCAGAAATACATAAAGTCCTCCCTACAGCACATGACAGAGAAGACAGAAACAGGAACACAAAATAGATTGTTTTGTTAAATGCACAAGATATTTAGCACGGAAAGAGAGACTTAATGGTACAGCCTTTAATTCTTAATGTTATAGATTAAAAAAGTAGACTCTCACCTCAGTCACCATAAACAGGCCAATAACAAAGGAAACACCACAGATGATCAACAGAAGTAGTTTACGTCGATGACCAATGAGAAAGAAGGATGGAAACATGTCTGATATGGCTGTCACCAGGCCTTCCAGACACACAAACTGTGGGTAAAAGATAAATGTCACATTTACATTTTCTACACTGATTATAACAATTACGTTTCTAACCATTCTCAGGTCTTAAAGGTCTCCTATTATGCTATTTTTAGGCATATATTATGGGTCTCAGATATATAAAAATATATAAAAAACATGTCTATGATGTGTTTTGCTCAAAATACCAAACAGATCATGCATTTTAGACATCCCTCATATCCCTCTTTTTCAGCCCTGTTAGAGAAGTGCTGATTCTGGGTCAGTAGCTGCTGGTTGTCTGACACTTGGTGAGTTCCCTTACACACCTCGGACACATATTTATGTATGAAATACATCAAAAAGTGCATTTTGCATGATAGGAGACCTTTAAGACTTTTGGAAATGTTTTAGTCTTCATGACTTCAACCAACAAGGCAGTGCATATTCTGTCCAAGCATTTACTGTAACTTAAGCCTGATTGCTTATATCTTTTATGTATTTGGATACTTAATATCTCTAGATCTAGATATCACAAGACACAACCATTGAAAATATCTTATGGAATATTTGCACATGAAAAGCAATACAAATCAATCAAAAGTAAAAGGAAATAGAGATATATTGATGTTGTCTTTTCATGCAGGGATTTAATTATAATTAAAGTATCAGGGGGGCTTATAACCAAATGTTATACAATTCTTATGTACAGTATATTTTAAATACAGCTGAATGTGAAAACTTTACCTCACTGTCCAATCCAAGAAGGATAATCATGATGAAGAAGAAGGCAGCCCAGAGTTGAGGTAAAGGCATCATGGATAAAGCCCGAGGGTAAGCAATGAATGCCAGGCCAGGACCTGCAAGTAGATAGCCAAATGTCTTAGGAATTAGTACACTTATAATTTCTATATATAGCACCTGATTTTAAGGTTGGAATTAGACCAGAACCTGCTTAGTTTGAGTGATGATGAGTTATTCAAACTAAATCTTTTATTTCCGGCCCCATGTACACCAGCTGGTATTCAGTAGGTTGCAATATGCAATCTAACCACGAGATGGCACTATCATACACACTGGTCGTAAAAAAGGTGATAATATTTCTGTGTTGTGTTTACAGCAAGTTTCTGCTGCCGCCAATGGGTCAAAATATCAGGTGCTGCAGGATTTGATTTATTAATAGATTTTATCTTGGATTATGTTTAGGAAATAAGGAATACATTTAGAGAGTAGAGGGTACTCATAAGTACTTTACAGGTACAAGAATGATGTTCTTGTGAATTATAATTGAAAGAACCCTGCAGCACACATTGATGTGAGGTCCCACATGACATTATGGGGACCAAAATCCAAGTGTTTCTTCTCACATGTTATTGTGAGACTTGAATTTGTTAAGTTGTGAATTATATATTTGTTCTCTTCATCTGAAAAAAACAAAACAATTTATTCATCACTTAATATTTTTCATAGGAACACAACAAAGCTAATATACACCACAATGTTTTTCCTCAAACCATCCCATACCTGATTCAGCTACTGTTGAGATGTCAACACCCAATTCATGCGACATGAAGCCAAGAACAGAGAAGACTGCAAAGCCAGCAACAAAGCTGGTTAAACTGTTCAGTGCGCACAAGGCGAAAGTGTCTCTGGAAATTAAAAAGGCCGATTATCTATTTTATCCTGCATCAAATCAACCTTTTAATGCATAAAATGTACATACATAGAATATAATGTTTTCCTTACTTGTAGCAGTTGTTGTTGTATTTGTTGTACTGTAGCTTCCCATCGCTTGCAAAGTGCCTACGCAAATGCCATAGGAGAATAATACCTGGCTCCCAGCATCCATCCACACCTTAAATCAGTTAAATGTGCAGTGCCAGTGATTTTTAAATGCTTTTAAATATTGATACATATGATGTTTATACTTGTATAATATACAACTATACTTTGTTATACTGTGTACTTGGTTCAGCCATTTAGAATTCTACCTTTCTGTCCCTCTCTTAAGCCACATTTCCACTTCCATGCATGACATAGAAACTCTCTAACACAATTTGTATCTTTCCTCCGGATGTACTCAGACTTTCCCACATGTCCTATCTGACTCCTACATCCTCCTGCTCACATGTTCCTCTTTCCCTATTACTCCCAATAGTATTTTCACCTTCTCCACCTTCTCATTGGCAGATCATCAATTTTGCTTTTTTCCTCTGGTAGACCTGAAACCTAACTTGTACCTGCTTGTATTCCATGTTAATGCGTCTGTCTGTCTGATTGGTCAATTCTCCGTCTCTGGGCCCTGACGGCAAATACCCTGTTCCCTTTCGTTTTCAGCCAAGCCTTTATAATAGACAAAAACACTTCTGGTCATTAATTTGGGGTACAGCACGTAATGGGGAATACAAAGGCGTCAAAGATAAAAGCATCAGCAATATTCTAAAATATTTTCTTTAACATATTTGGAGCCATCAAAGACGGAAAAACAGGATTGATCCGAGTCCTGCAGTCAAAAAAAAAATATTTTTCCCGTTGCAGATGTGACCAGATAAAGGCGTTTTAAATAGTATCTGTGTCTTTAAAATCTAAGATACATATTCCTAAATTCCTAAAAACATGATTTAAAACTTAAAATGTTTGTCATGATCCAATGGGAAAACAGCATATTTCAGAATATCTCTGTTTTGACATCACAAGGACAGTCATTCGTTGAATACAGCATTCCAGGGTTTGTGAATCTTAGGGCAGGTACATCTGCATATAATCAGCATCAAATATAATAAAAAAAAACATATTTATAAATAGTGTGCCAACGGGGGAAAGCTTGTATAAAGAAAACATAATTGGTACCAAAACCAACCCCTGAGGTACACCAAACTTAAAGGGGACCTATCATGCAAAATGCACTTTTGTACGTCTTTTATACATGAATATGTGTCCCCGGTGTTCCAGGGAACTCACCAAGTGTCAGAAAACACAACCCTCTCTCTTTTCCTCCATACCCAAATCTCTAAAAACGGGGCTGCAACGGATCTGACGTCAGGAACGAGGAGCTCCGCCTATATGTAGTCTGCCACAAAAGCAGCGAAGAAGACTTCCCGCGCATGGTTGCCAAGGTTGCCATGGTTGCCCTTCTGTTTATTCTCCGCTGTGGCTCTTTTTCTCCCTCCCCGAGGCAAGTGTTTGCTCCTCCTGCTGCTGTAATTCAATGCAATCCCTCCCCGTCGAGGCAAGCACTGTAATTCTCTCCGGTAGTCCACCAGCAGATGACAAACACCCACCTCTCGCGTCGGGCCGAACCACGCCCCTTAGCTGTGATATAATGAGCATATACCACGGCCTGAAGTGAGCTATTGCTTTTATAAAACGGTTACCAAGTGTGGCAATATGAAAGAAAAATACACACTCTAATTTAAATAGTTTTATTAGTAAATAATGATGTTCAAAATAAAATAGTCCCTCCGTTGCCTTCTGCACGAAACATAGTGCGAGGTGGTTGCTATGCAACAACACTAAAGCGAACATATTAGACAGAGAGTGTTGATCAATAATTTGGCTATTTATTTACATTAATGTGTATGTTGCCGTTTATTGTGCACCCACTGAAAAACTGTCCAGCATCAGTAGAATGGCTTACGTGGTTACTTGTATAGGTTGAGGTTATTCTAGGCTGTTGCTTGGCGTGGCGAGAATATTGCTCCACTTTCTCCGGTCCCCGAGATTCGGCTTCCAGTAGCTCTGGAGAGAGCTTTCGCACCTGTGGCCACTAACGGTCATAATTTCTCTGCTTTCAAGACATTTTCTGCATCAGAAAGCTTTTGAATGGGGGTACTTTTCCAGTTGGTCTACCTGCTCTTCACGTAGCTCTGCATGTCGTCGTTTAGGTGCTTTTTTTTCTGGAGATAGGCACTCCTCAATCCACTCCTCCATAGTAAGACCCCCCCGGAGGTCGAAGTTAATCTTAAATGTTTCCATCTTATGCTTTGTAAGTTTGTTTCGTAACAGAAGAAATGTAAATATATTTATAAAACGGACAAGTCAAATCAAGCTATCTGATTGGTCGATAGCGTTTTTGCGGACCTTTTTGATTACAGATTTGAAAACATCGTTGCTTGCTTTAAAAGTAGCACAATTCATTATGTCAAACCTTGGAAAGTATCTAAATATCCCTGCCCTAATGCCAAAGGAACTGCACACTGAATATGTTTTGCCGTTTGATGTCTATGTCTGGACCGCTGCGTAAAAAGGAGGGTTTCTGCCCCGTTACTTCTCCGCTGTTTTCTTGTCCCAGTCTGAAAAGCATTTGCTTTTCAGCCCAACTGTATACAGTTTTTCTCAGACGCGGAGGGATACTGACTTGTTGTGAAAAGTAACTACAATTCTACCCGTGGTATATGCTCAGTATATCACGGCTAAGAACCAATCAGATTGCTTGATTTGACTTGTCCGTTTTATAATGTTCAAATATAGCATGATAGGTCCACTTTAACAAAAGAACTATAAAATACATTGTTTTCCCCAGAAACAACGAACCTCCTATTAAAAAGCTGTGTCAAATGCTGCGTTAATGTCCAGAATTACAATGACTTGGCCATGCGAGGCTGAATTACACAGATTGGTTGAAAATAAAAACAATTCATGGCTGCTCTGCCCACACCTTTGTACTGTGTCTTTAAGGGACCAAAAGGTTGTTGAGCTCTGGTGGGCTTTGAAGTGAATTCAACTTTGCAAAGTGAATTTAAAATAAATGGCACAACTTAGTACAAAAACGGCTTGCACACTTGTATGATGACCTTCCTTTTGAACTGATCACCTAGAGCCATCTGAAAGTGGCATGCTTATCTTCCATCTAGTGTCTCTAATCCAAAGGTAAAACCGGAGCTATTTAATATCAGCCTTTGGCTTCACAAGTAACATTTGCTAGTATGATTAACCAATATTTAGTTTTGGTCTAAGTTAAAGTCCATACATTTTAGTATTGCAAGTGTTAGCCAAGTATTGTTCTGTGCAGTGTGTCACTTACACATCACTCATTAGTCACACAAAAACCTCACCTGAGGATCAGTCAGACGGGTCAGATCAGGATAAAGGTAATATCTAATTCCAGTTAAAGCTCCTGGCAATGTCAGCCCACGGATCAGCATCACAATCAACATCACAACTGGAAAAGTGGCTGTGACGTACACAACCTGAAAGAGGAGCCCCAATACATACTGTTATTAATCGTGGTCAATAAGCCCATTCATTTTTAGGTTTTAATTATAATTTTAGGTTTAAATTACCCATTTAATAATAAGCGTATACATCTCACCTTTCCTGTCGCCTTGATTCCTTTCCAGATACAGAAGTAACAGATGATCCAGCTTAGCAGAAGACATCCAGCCAGGTCCCAGCGTATACTGCCCATCTCTTCAATTCCTCCAGACAAACCCAAGACTCTCCTCCTGAGTGCAAGAAGAAAGTTATGTCAAGAGACATTTTAGTGACTCTAAAAACTGTTTTGCGAATGTGAGTACTTACTGCCAGAATTCTTTCACTGATGATGTTGTGTTTTCATTGATGTGGCGATAAACTGAATCATTCTGTCCACAATCAATGCAGTTATCTTGAAGCGAAAGAGTAAAATGAAACAAGTTGACATTTTCAGAATTTGCAACCATGTTGATATTAAGGGTTCTCCATACATAATTGAGCATGCCTATGATTACATTAATTGCCTCCATATGGCCACTCACAGTCATTCTGTACCTACATAAGGCCTTTGCACTAACATCAGTGCGATGTTTACCTGTGTTCCAGGTGTTGTTGCAGCTGGCCCAGGGGAGTACAGTGTGGAAGGAGGAGAAGAGGTAGAGGAAGGCCCAAGCCAGGATGACAATGTAATACACCACACTGTATAACGATGTAACTTGACTGCCGTAGCCTAAACCTTTGAAAAAAATAGAACTGCCATTTTAACATTTGATACACAAAAGTAATGTAACAATATACACATATTTCAAATACTTTGGCACTCTATGGAATATGTAGTTATGTTAGTAGTACCTCCAAATATGGGACATATTTTCCTCCAACATGTGATCCCACCCTGAGCCGTTAACTGCCCCAGAGATACCTCTAGAAAGAAGATGGGGATTCCACACGTGGACAGGAACACCACATAGGGGATCAGGAAAGCTCCTAAAAGGAAATAATGTATCCAAGTAATAAACTATAGTGACAAAAATACAAAGAATAAATGATTTAACCCTTTCACGCATAGAGGTCACTACAGTGGACAACTATTCAAAAGGTGTTTTTTTTTTATATGCATGGGTTTTGATGGCATAGTTGAACACCAGCCACTACATAGGACCCTATTGCATCATCCCACACACTGCCACTCAGTGCCAAGTTAGTGTAAGTGCATGATACATTTCTCTAAACCACGATGGACGACAGAAAGCCAGATGGACCGAATCACTCGTCGATATCTTGCCAATCCTTTTATGGAAAGTGCCCCCTGCAGGTATAACAATGTTGGTGACATCAAGGAACAACTAAGGAATCATATAATTCATAAATTGTCAAAGTATTGATTTTATGTTTGCAGGAAATTATGATTGATCACCTGTCCACTAAAGTGGACGTCTCTAAAGTGTTACTGGCTATATTTCAACTACAATTCATACTGTTACTGCTATTGTTCTTGAAAATACTTCATCTGCAATATCTTTGTGGGCCGTAAATCAATATACTTATGTTAATATAATGTAATTTTAAGTTTGCACATCTTTATTTATCATTTTTTTTTAAATGTACATGTCTCAAACTTAAACGCATACCTGAGTATAAAAAATCTTTTTTTCAAAATTTGAAAAAACTAGATATAAAAAAAATAAAGTTCAAATCTTGTTTTTCATGCCCCAAGAGCAATAAAAACACTTGGTAAAAAAATCCTGACTGAGGTTTTCATAATTCATGCATGAAAGGGTATACATTTTCCAGCTTTTACTTATCTAACTTACTCCTGGGCAGTACAATAAGATGTTTTAAATGCTCTTACCACCTCTATTTTTGAAGCACAGATATGGAAATCTCCAAACATTGCCCAGACCAATGATCTGTCCGGATACTGACAAAATGAACTCCCTCTTGTTGGCCCACTGACCTCTCTTTGCACTGTAAGATGGAGCATGATTTTGATTGTTTTCATCTTTCATTCTTATTTTATTCTTTAGATTCCCTGGATAACTTGCTGGCTCCATCAGGACACATCTGTTGAAATGTAAGTACAAATATTCAGTTTAGCTGTTTTTTGGGCGTGTTATACTTAAAGGTAGGGTATTAGGTAAGTTTGAGAAACCGGCTCGAGATACACTTTTTGTTATATTCCATGGAATGCTCTTAACATCCCGATAGCAATGAATATCTTAAGTGCTTTGACAAAAAATCCATAAAAAAATGTCATCTGTGGAAGCCGTAATACTGTAAAAAGCACGACCAATCATTTTAGCCGGCCCGGCTAAAATAACTGGATGGCCTACCTGCCTGTCAGCCTTCCATCTGTGCACAAACTTATCTCGTGCCCTCATTGGTCATGTGCGCGTTTGTGTGTGTTGGAGGAGGGGCTCTGTAAGGAAGTGGCAGATTTTCTCCGGTTGTGTATTTTCAAATTCTAGCGATCTCGAGCCGGTTTCTCAAACTTACCTACCCTACCTTTAATGTGCATGTTCAAAAGTATCTTTTTGTGCAAAGTCTTCAGAACACTAAACACATCTAAAGCACCAGATTAGATTTTAGGGTAATGCTGTTTCTTATTGTTCATCTTAAATAGCTATGGTGCTGACCAATTAATTTGAAAGATTTGGTACCTTCAAGTTGATAGATGTAAAGGTATCAAAACCTTTTAAAGTGTTGATTCATCTTGCTAAATATGGTGTTGGTGCCTCTGTGAAACTCCGTTGATGTACATGCAAGTTCAACAGCCTGCGCTGCCTATCCCACAAATAATTTTTTCTAAAATTAATTATTACATTAGTTTTCACGGCTCGCCGGATTTGTTTGCTTTACTCTTTGTACTCATGAATTTGAAACAGGTCTAACGTGTAATTTAAATGTCATTGAGTGTCATTGGTGTTTCTTGGAACCAAGGTAGACACGATAGGTTTAACAAGCAGCTGCTCTTTGTGCTGAAAAAAAGGCCCAGGGACAGTGTTGCAGTGGAACACGGCCAAAACCAGAGGCGTCGGGTAATGAAGGTTAGAGAAGGTGAAGCCTTCCCTGAATTATTAGTCCTGTTTCTGTTGTGCACAACAATGTTCCCTAAACAGGCTACTGCTATGATCCATTATGTTTGGCGGCTCCAAATATCAGGCTGTAGTATAAGGCTACGTTTTTTATAATCAACACATTTAGTGAATGATGAGATAATAATAATGTATCACTGTCAGGGCACTAACTATGTCAGAAGGATCAGGGGGACGCGTTTAGAAACTGTAACAGCATGTCGTGTGTGGCGTACTAGCCTAACGTTACTCATAAAATGCTGCCTTAGAAACTTGTCTTTGTCTCATGAGCTGCATCAACACTGTCAGTTAGTGCCGCAGGGTCAACAAATATTTCTCAAGTTCTCTCATGTGCTGTGTGCCTAGGGCTGCATATTAGTCCGGCATTGTAGAATCTCATCTTTCTGTATCCTAGTAAGCTATTATATAATATTATTATTGCTGTTATTTGTGTCAAAATGCCTTAGCTCCTGCAAAAAACATCCAGTCCCCTGTCGCTCCAGTGCTGTCCCTTATTGGGTCAGCAGCTGCATTTAATTGCTGTTATAAACATAAAAACATCTTCTGTTCCGTTGTAAGATGTTGTAACAAGTAGTTGGTCAACAGCGACGTGCAGTCAGGGGAGGCAGGGGAGGCAGAGCCTCACCTGTCATACTCCAATGTAACGGAAAAACAACTAAAGAAAAACTAAATAGTAATAATAATAAAATGTCTCCACTGATCTGTGTTGTAAGTGTGATTTATGTATGATTCCAATCGCTTTTTATAGTCAAAATCAGCAAATTTGCCGAGCTCCGCTACGGGAGCAATGAGAAGTGAGGCAGGGACGAGCTCTGCCTCACGTAAGCCCACAGTAACGTGCTGGAGCATGGGCACTAATTTAGCGCGGGCACTTATATTGTGAGCGCGCTCAAGCCATTTACTGTGGGGCGAGGTGAGGCACAGATGAGCTCTGCCTCATCTCAGAATGCGTCACCCCACAGAAACTGGCTGGAAAGCGGGCCCTAAGCGCATGCCTGTTACCCTCTCACTGTATGTCACCAATGTAATGTTTGGAGATCCCTTTATTACATTTATCCTCGCCATCCATAGTCTCTAAATAACTTATTTCACGTATAGATATTTAGGCTCGCTGGTCTCATCATACAACGGCAATGAAAAAAGCACCAGGGGAGGCAGCCATAACCTCTGCCGCACTGAAGGGGGCGCACGTGAGCCCACAGGTTCTTGTTGCTACTGTTATTCTACACAGAGACAGTAGACGCAAACAACAAACTAGACTTTTGAAACCAGAGGAAGATAAGGAGGACTTTTACAAAACAGTAATAGAGATTGTTGTCCAGAAGGATAGCATGGACTTCATCTTCAAGTCAAGGTAAGACCACATTTCTAATGAAAATGGGATCTTACTAAGAAAGAACAATCCAATATTTAGATTTTGGGTATCCTTTTGTTGAACGGTCTGTTTAAAATGAATCGAAGCATCAGACTAAAAAAGCTTTTGAAAATAACCGAATATTTCGATTAAGGTCAAAATATAATATTTGTAAATCTGACTCAGTGAGTCAGTGCTTCACCAGCCATGAACCTCACCGCACGTCACTGTTGGTCAAATAATAGCCTACCCTATCTTGAGCTCCACTCGCCGCCTATGGCCAAAACCCATGTCACAAAACATTCCCTAAATTGATGCAGCCTTGCTTAAAGTAACCTATTGTAGCTGTGGATTATTTATGAGTATTAGCAGAAGGCTACACATGTATTCATTTGAGTAATTTCTACATATAGTATATAGTTTAAGCTTACATTCCCAATACATACAAATTGTACCAGTTATTGTAACAGTTAAGCAGGAGATTTTTAACAGTGAAGCTGATGTCAGAATACTCACAGAACTGAATGAATGACAGCAAATATCCACTGGACCTGTAACAGAAGGTTTTCACGTGTCTCGGCACATGTCGACTGAAACTTTTCCTGCCAAGGTTAAGATTATGGTTATAAATGGTAATGTGTAGAGAGCAGAATTGACACCTCCTCCTGAAGCAATCATGCATTTCACAAGTTTGATTTACAATATTTACTTTATCATCTTAAGCCTTTTTTCTGAAAAGCTGGCAGTTGATACTAATGATTTCATCTAGGACACTGGCTTGAGATTATTTAATGTTTAAAATGTTTCCAAGTCCACTTGTTTGGCCTGTGTGCGATTCGATAACATTCAATCAATTATGTCACAGTGAGGGTAAGGATGCAGGACAAAAACATTGGATATAGGAATATAAACAAAAAGCGAGCTTTATTTCAGGCGGATGGCCGGAGAAGGTGGTTTCGGGCGGACGGCCCGGGGAAAGGCTGAGAAGGGGGTCTCGGGCGGACAGCCCGGGGGCAAGGCAGAGGCAGAGAAGGGGGTCTAATGGCGCATTTCCACTACAGTGCGGAGCTCGCTTTAAGCTTGCCGTGCCGTGCCCGGCCCGTTTTTGGTTGCGTTTCCACTTGGCGTAGTTCCGGCTAGCGGGTACTATTTCACAGTTTTTCTGGCCCCATAAAATCGAGTGTGTGTGTGTCGCACGAAATGATGGCCATTTATAACTGCCTGATGCTGTATCCCACTGCCACACACACACACACACACACACACACACACACACACACACACACACACACACACACACACACACACACACACACACACACACACACACACACACACACACACACACACACACACACACACACACACACACACGTGCATGATGGCTGAGAGAAAGAGGAGCGTTGTGTGGAGCTATTTCACTACTGTCAATTAAAACTTAGCGAACTGTGATGTGTGCAAGGAGGCAGTTCGCTACTGTGGCCACTTTGTATTGTTACTTTTCCTGTTTGCACTTTAAATTTGCAAAAGTAAAATGTTTATTTGTCTATAAAAACTGTCCTGTCTTTAATCATGAAAATGAATTCAGATTTAGTCTATTTATGATGCATTCAGCTAACAAATCATGTCATGCAGCTCTCCCCTACATGAAAGTACATAAGACGCTTTTCATTAAAAAAAGTATCGGTATCGGCGATACTGGCCCTGAAATACTTGGTATCGGATCGAATCCAGATTTTGTGGTATCGCCCACCCCTAGTTTGTACTTGTTTAACTTTTGTCTAGTTTCTGAACAGATATGAGGAGCTGTGAGCTTGAGTGCTAACAGCTAACGGCTGATCTTGTTTTTCTGTGGTTTTCATTGAAGATGACGTCACGGCTCCGCCTACACTGCGTTACTATAGTTACTGCACTTTTGTACGTCTTTTATACATGAATATGTGTCCCCGGTGTGTCAGGGAACTCACCAAGTGTCAGAAAACACAACCCTCTCTCTTTTCCTCCATACCCAAATCTCTAAAAACGGGGCTGCAATGGAGCTGATACAGATTTGAATTTTTCTGACGTCAGAAAAGGGGTGCTCCGCCTATATGGGTAATAATAATAATAATAAATTGTATTTTTATAGCGCTTTTCACGAACCCAAAGACGCTTTACATTTGGGGAAGGGTAGACAAACAAAGACAGGCAATAAAACAAAACAAAAAAACAGAAAAACAGAAAAAAAAGAAAAAGAAATCAGCCAGGAGGAAGTTGGTTGAGAGGGGGGGGGGGCTTATACAGAGTTGAAGAGATGGGTTTTGAGGCGGGACTGGAACAGGGTGAGGGACTCAGACTCACGTAGGTCCTGGGGGAGGGAGTTCCAGAGCCTCGGGGCTGCCACAGAGAAGGCTCTGTCCCCAAAGCTCCGGAGTTTGGCCTTGGGGATGGAGAGCAAACCGGCTGAGGTGGATCTGAGGGACCGGGGTGGTTGGTAGAGGATGAGGAGGTCAGTGAGGTAGGGCGGGGCCAGGTGGTGGAGGGCTTTGTAGGTGAGGACCAAGAGTTTGTATTGGATGCGGTGTGAAACGGGGAGCCAGTGGAGTTCTTTGAGGACCGGGGTGATATGATGCCATGATTTGGTGTGGGTGAGAAGTCTGGCGGCTGCGTTCTGGACACGCTGAAGTCTATTGAGGGATGTAGTACTGATGCCATAGAGGAGTGAGTTGCAATAGTCCAGGCGGGAGGAGATGAAGGCGTGAACGAGTCGTTTGGCTGCGGGGCGGTTTGAGAGAGGGACGGAGTTTGGCAATATTGCGGAGGTGGAAAAATGAGGTTTTTACAACTTGGCGGATGTGGGGCTTGATGAAGAGGGTGGGGTCAAATATAACGCCATGGTTGCGTGCCTGGGTGGATGGGGAAACAGGGGTGCCATCGATGGTGAGTGTCAGGTTGGGGGTTTTGCTGAGGGTGGATTTGGAGCCGATGAGGAGGAGTTCAGTTTTATTGCTGTTGAGTTTGAGGAAGTTGTGTGCCATCCAGGATTTTATTGCAGTCAGACAGGATTCAATGTGGGTGAGGGGGGGGTTGTGGGGGGATTTGGTGCTGAGGTAAATCTGTGTGTCATCAGCGTAACAGTGAAAGTCCAGGTTGTAGTGGTGGAGAATCTGACCAAGGGGGAGGATGTAGATGATGAAGAGGAGGGGGCCGAGTACTGAACCTTGGGGAACACCTTGGGTGACTGAAGCTGTGGCAGAGGAGTGGTTGTTGAGGAAGATTAAGTGGGATCTGTCGGAGAGGTAGGACTGGAGCCACCTGAATGCAGTACCTTCGATACCGAGTCGGGTAAGCAGGATGGTGTGGCTCACGGTATCGAAGGCTGCACTCAGGTCGAGGAGGATGAGGATGTTAAGGGAACCGGTGTCAGCAGAGGTGAGGAGGTCATTGAGGACTTTGATGAGTGCCGTTTCTGTGCTGTGGTGAGGACGAAAACCAGACTGAAGGGGTTCAAAAAGGTGATTTGTTTGGAGATGGCGGTGGAGTTGTTTGGAGATGATGCGTTCTATTGTTTTTGAGAGAAAGGGACCTCAAGGTGTCAGAGCAAGATGGCCGCACCTATGTTGGCTGCTAGTCATCTTCACTCGCTACCGCTCCTGTTTGTCGCTTATCTGTTTTTATCGTTGTGCGTACGCAATGTCAAATCGGCAGTTTCCTATGATCGCCAAACTCTGCTGGATATAGGGGCTTCGGTGGCACAATCACTGTCGGACCGATCGGCACAGTGGAGCTGTCACCGTACCCTGCGTCCCCAGGTACCAGAGGTAATCTGGTCTGCAACCTGTTGCTGCCCCCGAACCTGGAGAGCAAGATGGAGGGGAAGGCGAACCGGAGCGGCGGTAAAATTCCGCAAGCTGACAGAAGGCCGCTCCTCGTCTAAACTGTGCACCATCTCCATGACAGCTGGCCCCAGGGTGAGGCCGTCATTCCTCCGTCCTATTCTCCCGGCATCAACATCCCACCTACCCGCGTTTGCCCCTGCCAAACGTCAATTCACAAAACTCACCAGTGTGGCTTCAGTGCCTGGGTGTCCGCATCGAGGGCCGGGGGGCTCTGGAAATCGACCATCGGCTCGTTTCGGCATGGCTCCTGTGTCCGGCTGCCTGCGCCCACTGCCTCGGGCCTCGAAGATAGGAAGAGCCGGATCTGACTCCGTATCCTTCTGCTTGTTGAACGCCAGATCCATTACAAACAAATCCTTTGTATTAAATGACTACGTCGTCTCAAGAGAGCTGGATTTTATGCTTGTTTCAGAGTCCTGGCAGAAAGCCGGGGAGTTTGCCTCCTTGAACGAACTTTGTCCTCCGGGCTACAGCTACTCCTGTGCTCCTAGGCGCATCGGCCGAGGAGGAGGACTTGCCGCGTTCCACAGAGACTGCTTCTCCACCAACATGGTGAGCACTGGATCCTTCCCAACATTTGAAGTGCTAATAACAAAAGTGGGTCGCTCAAACCCGTTTTACTGTATTTTAATCTACCGCCCTCCAGGCAAGAATAGCTCTTTTTTATCCGATCTTGGTGACTTACTAACCTCCATCATCCGCTATGAAAGAGTTCTTCTGTGCGGGGATTTTAACATTCATGTAAATGACTGCTCAGACAAATTTGCCAGTGATTTCCTTAATGTCACCGAATCTTTTAACTTCTGTCAACATGTGTCTGGTCCAACGCATGACAAAGGTAACACATTGGACCTCGTGTTCACAATTGGCCTAAATATCAGCAATGTCTGTATCGAAGACCTATCTATTTCCGACCATAAAGCCGTACTATTTGTCATGTCGTTGGATAACGCTTATGTTCAGGGGAAGCGAGTAAAAACCTCGCGTATTTTAAATGGCGCAGCGGTTGAGAAATTTGTAACCGCTTTCGACAACAATGTTTTGGTGTCGCATGTTGATGACGTTGATTGTCTAGTCCAGCGGTTTTCAAAGTGTGAGGCGCGCCTCCCCTGGGGGGCGCCAGAGAGCTTCAGGGGAGGCGCAGCGTGAGGAAAAAAAGAACGAGAAAAAGATTAATAAAGTGACACTTGCCCACTTTTGGCTGTCTGTGGAGACCGAGTTCCCCCACCTCGCCAAAAAGGCTGTAACAGTGCTCATTCCCTTCACCTCCACCTACCTGTGTGAGTGGGGGTTTTCCGCATTGACTTTGATCAAAAGCAAGTACCGGTCAAGGCTGCAGCCAGAGGATGATCTGCGTTTATTCCTGCGAGCATCAAAGACGCAGACTCATTGTTCCCACTAAAGTAGGGGTGAGTGTAATAAGGAGGCAAAGTTGACGTTCAGTGTGTTGCCGGGAGCATATAAGCATATATATATCCACGATGTTGAAAATGTTAAAAATGTTAAAAGAAAATATGTGTTGAGAACACCGTGCGAAAATATACGGGTCGTGCTGCAGCTAGATTTGCCTGTCCTCTGTAAGAAGGTGTCGGCGACTGACATGCAAGGAAGAACGGCTGTCCACAGGCTGTTCCAACTTTAACAACTTTATTAACTTCCAAGGTAGTGAATTGAACATGCAATTGTAATTGTGTGTGCGGTATATTTTCAGGCACGCACACGCATGTTCCACAACACACAAACTGAACAACACTCAATTGTCCGATCACTACCAGTGTCCTTGCGATCTTGTAAGAACAAGTGTACGTTACTGATGCAATATGGTTGAGACCAGTCGGGCTTATTCTAGAGGGGTGCAAGGAATAGTCCAAGTAGTGGGGGAGTTTTATACAATATGTTTAAAACATGAAGATACAAAGGTTTAAAAAAGTTATTGTTTAATGTTTTAAGGAGGGGACGCTACTCAGCCAATCAAATCGGTGCAGTCAGTGAGTCAGCACGATAGATTCAAACACACACAAGAGGAGAGAAACAGTCGGAGTAATTTCAAATGGCGAAAGGTAGACAGCGAAAACAGAGCATTTAATGACATTTAATGACATTTTCTCTTACTGGACCTCTTTGAAATGCAATTGAATACTCCTGCATTATAGCAACAACAACAATAATAATAATAATAATAATAATAATAGCAATAATAATTGGGAGGGGGGGCGCGGCTGTTCTTATGTTCTCTGAGGGGAGGCTCACCTTCCCACACTTTGAAAACCCCTGGTCTAGTCAATGCTTTCAATACACACTGCTCCGCCATTTTAGATGACGTCGCTCCCATGGTGACACGCAGCTCCCTGGCTGTAAACACATCCCCCTGGTTAACAGAGGACACCCGTATACTGAGACGGCATTGCCGCAAAGTTGAGCGGCTGTGGAAAACCACTAACCTTCAGGTACACCGTCTCCATCTGAAGGACCTTTACTGCGATTATAACAATTTGGTCAAAAACGCCCGGGCAACCTATTTTTCTAACCTCATCTCCTCTAGTAAGCACAACCCCAGAGTACTATTTAAAACCATAAATACCATTGTAAACCCGTCCACCCCCTCAGTTCCTATTTATTCAAACGACGACTGCGACCGTTTTCTCACCTGTTTTATAAACAAGGTGGCTGACGTGAGGTCGAGCATCAACCCCTCCCACTCCCCCCTCCCTATCTGTCCAGTTAGGCAGGCCACGCTGAGTAATTTCTCCTGCATCACTATAGCCGACCTGACCGCTGTAGTGAGCACTATGAAATCTTCCTCAAGCCCTCTGGATGCCTTACCAACGTCTATGCTAAAAGAAGTTTTTTCGTGTGTCTCTCCACCCCTGCTCCACATTATAAACATCTCCATTGTCTCCGGCTCCGTCCCATCATTCTTTAAGCAGGCGGTTGTTCAGCCCATTCTCAAAAAACCCAATCTAGATCCCTCCCTCCCGAATAATTACAGGCCCATCTCAAAGCTCCCATTTGTGTCAAAAGTCTTAGAAAAAGTTGTTGCTAACCAACTCAATACATTTCTGAATGATAATAAAATCCATGACAAATTCCAATCAGGTTTCAGAAAACACCACTCCACAGAATCAGCTCTCCTCAGGGTCTCCAATGACATCATGATGGCATCGGATGCAGGTGATTGCGTGGTTCTGGTGTTGTTGGACCTGAGTGCAGCGTTTGACACAGTGGACCACGCCATCATGCTAGATAGACTCAGGGAGTGGGTAGGCATCTCAGGGTCTGCCCTCCAGTGGTTTGCCTCGTACCTCAGTGGGAGAAGTTTCTCCGTGGCGGTGGGCCCGTTCTCATCAGACAGCACTCCCCTATCCTGCGGCCTGCCCCAGGGTTCTGTTTTAGCCCCCCTTCTTTTTGCCCTGTACATGCTCCCATTGGGCTGCATAATTAGCCAATTCAAGGGTGTCTCATATCACTGTTATGCAGATGATATCCAGATATACATCTCTTTCAAACCCGTCAAAATGGAAATTGTAAACACTCTCATCACATGTCTGTCTGCAATTGAGGATTGGATGTCAAGCAACTTCCTACAGCTCAATGCTTCAAAAACGGAAGTCTTGATTTTAGCGGCTGATAACATCGCCTCTAAGATAGCAAGCCACCTGGGTTCCTTCAGTGGTAACATAAGGGCAAACATCAAAAACCTTGGTGTAACTTTCGATCAGTCTATGCTACTAGACAAACACATAAAACTTCTGACCCGTACCTGTTTTTTCCATCTCCGAAACATTGCCAAGCTCAGGGGGGTTCTATCAAACACAGAAATGGAGATGGCTATTCATGCCTTTATTTCATCCCGGCTGGATTACTGTAATGCTCTGTTCTCCTGCCTCAACAAAACATCAATAAACCGGTTACAACAGGTCCAAAACGCTGCAGCCAGATTACTCACTCGGTCCAAAAAAACATGCCACATCACTCCGATCCTTTCTGCCCTGCACTGGCTCCCTGTCCATCTCAGAACCCAATTCAAGGTTTTGGTCTTCACTTATAGAGCTGTCCATGGCCAAGCCCCAGCCTACATTAATGACCTGATCCTCCCTCATAGCACAACTCGGGCCCTGAGGTCCTCTGAGTAAGGCCTCCTAAGGGTGCCCCGAACCAGGCTAAAAACCAAGGGGGACCGTGCCTTTGAGGTGGTGGCCCCAAGGCTCTGGAACAAACTCCCCCAGACACTAAGAGCCTCTGCCTCAGTAGAGATTTTTAGGGGGCAGTTAAAGACCCACCTCTTCCGTCAGGCCTTTGGGGCATCGGAGGAGGTGAGTTAGTAGCTGTCTTTTATTGGTGTTTTATCGTATGTTTTATCCTATGTATTACCTGCTGTTGTTTTATGCCTTTTTATGCCTTTTATTCTACATTTTAGTTGTACTGTGAATTGTGTACTGTACTGTAAAGCACTTTGTACATTCGTGTTGTGAAGGGTGCTTTATAAATAAAGCTTTACTTACTTACTTACCTCCCCTTTCTCTCAAAAACGAGATGGAGATGGGGCGGTAATTACTGAGGGAGGAGGGATCCAGACCGGGTTTCTTGAGGATGGGAGTGACAGCAGCAGTTTTGAAGGCAGAGGGAACGGTTCCTTGGGACAGGGAGGAGTTAAAAAGGTTGACAAGGTAGGGGCAGAGGACGGGGAGGCAGGACTTCAGTAGAGGGGTGGGTAAAGGGTCAAGCGAGCAGGTTGTGTGTTTGGAGGAGCTGATCAGTTTGAGTATTTCAGGGAGGGTAACCAGAGTGAACTGGGAGAGGCGGCCGTGGGGAGGAGGGCTCGGGAGGTCCAGGGAGATGGAGGGAGAAATTGTGGCGGTGGGTGTTGGGGGAGATGTTTGTGTGTCAGATGCAGTGGATAGGGAGTGATTAATGGCAGTGATTTTGTCAGAGAAAAACTGGAGGAATGAACTGCATAAAGTGGAAGCGGATGAAGAGAGGGTGTCAGCACGGGGTTTGAGGAGCTTGTTGACGGTGGAGAAGAGGGTCCTGGGGTTACGGGAGGGGTCGGTAAAGATGGTGGAGAAGTAAGCAGATTTTGCGGCAGTGAGGGCGTCTCTGTAGGTAGTGAGATGGAGTTTGTAGGATTCGTGGTGAACTGTGAGGGATGATTTCATGGTTAGGCGTTCAAGCTGGCGGCCGGTTTGCTTCAACTTACGGAGTGCACGGGTGAACCAGGGTGAGGAGGTTTTGAAAGTGACATTTTTCCTTTTGAGGGGGGCCAGGCTGTTGAGGGAGGTGAGTAGGGTGGAATTAAGGTGGTTGAGTTGTTCATCGGGTGAGCTGAGGTTCGAGTCCAGGGGGA